TTTCATCACAAGCAACCAAAATTTTTCATCGAATGACATATAGAAATCGATCTCATTTCGCATGTTAACTAATGGAATTCAGACATATGATTTTTTTTGCAAGAAAAAGGGTTTTGATGGTGTTAAGCGAGATATTCGATAAAATGATCACCAGAAAATAAGATGAAAGAATTTTGCATTAAAATTAGAAGAAGATGTGATGAAATGGCGTGTATTTCAAAAGAAATGGTAAAAAACGAAATTTTCTGAAGTCAATCGAAATTAGCGACATTCGACTGAAATTAATAAATTTCTCGTAATATATTGCTGGCGAGCTGTATCTTTCTCGAAAAAAAATGTGATCGTTGTTTCGACGATGAAATTGAAAATCAAAGAAGTGCTCAAGTTAAACTGGCCTCCCTTGGAAACGAAAGAAGAAATTGCCAAAAATTGCTTGTGCGTCAAATGAAAAAAAATTAAAGTGTTTAAGTTGAATTTGAATAAGTAAACAAACAGGACTGCCTGTGGCTATCCGAATGCAATGCATAAAAATTGGGTTTTCAAGGTATTGTTTTGCTTTTAACATATATATTAAAAACAGTGTTTCTTTGTATTCGTTGAATTTGCGCATGCTTGGAACTTTGTGAGTTTTCGTTTTTTTTATCGTCTCATTGAGTTGAATTCATTGCAATGCAATCTTGGGACGACGCTGCTGGGTTTAAATTTTGTGTTTTTGTTTATGACAACAAACAATGGTATGCACAGAGTTCCTGCTAAAAAAAAGAGTTTTCGAATTCTTTTCTTCCATCGCTGTAGCCTTGGGCTACTTTCCTCTAAAAAAAAAAATGTAGAATAGCTGTGAACTCTCACATTTATGATTTCGGTAGTTCGATACGTGCCATCTAGACTGTTGCTCTCGCCAAATTGAGTTAAATTGATTAGAAAAGGAGAGTTGTGCATGTTGTTGTTTTTTTGCAACTGTCTGCCGAAAACAAAGAGGTTGTTTATTCAAATTTTCGGGGTTCATCCACCAACTTTTTTCGAGAAGGAAATGCAAATCATCCATTTAAATTATGGTTTCAATCAAACAACACTGGTGAATGCAAGCGGAATAGAAATAGAGGAATTGTGGTACACCGTTGCATGTTATTGACAATAACTTATTGTAAAATAATATGGATCGAGATTTTTTTAGCATTACAATTTTATTACAGCTTTTTTTTTTTCAATTTGAATAGGTTGCACCATTAATCAGCCAAACAACACTTTTCATTTCACTTTTTCTTTATGTTTCAATCATGGTAAATTTTAAAGCAAATGGAATCCGGAGAAATGTTCGATTTTTGTGATAAAAATGAAAGCCAAATCGCCCGCTGTTCAACAGCAGATAAAGTACCTAGCATGATTCATCATATTCAATGCAAATGCAATCGAAAGACGAAATTGTTTTTTCGGCTTCAGTTTCTGTGGATTGGATGGGGTGAAAGCATCTCACGCTGACTCACTTCAATTATTACTTGATTAAATGCCAATCGCACTCTTTGGCCAATGGATTTGACTTTTGTGTGTGTTTGCATTTCTGGGCTTGAATTCAGCTCACTCACACACATTTCATCGATACGATGTGTGTGCATGTGATATTCGACACTCGCTGATTCTTTCAAACGGAAAAGATTTTTAAAGTGTTGACTCCAGCAGTGGTATACGCTATTGTGGCTTTTGGTGTTAGTTTTAAGTACAATTTCAATTGCCATGTCACACTATTCAAATAGACACAAACGATTATGAACCCATTAAATTTAGATTCATCAACATTCTACACGAGAACATTTTGCAATCTGCACGTGCAACATCACCTTTACATGTACACGAACATTAAGAGTGCAGAGAAAATAGATTGTATGCATGCGGGTTCGATGTTAGAAAGCAATAATCAGCGTTTTGAAATTTTCATTCAAATAGACGCTATTTCCTTGCTATTTCATGTATTTTTTTCAAAATTTTACATTTTTCGAGTCAAACCCCATTTGAAGTCACATTTTTGCTTTGAAACATTCAAGTATCACTTTTTGTGCCGCATTAAATATTTTGAATTTATTTGAATAAAATTTTGGACATTTTTTAAACAAATTCATCAATTAACATCCTTTTTTTAAGAAAAACATTCAAAAAGAAATCATTCAAAAGTGTTGATTGAAGCTTCTAGAAATACGTTGTATTAATGCGCCAGTACATTAGTTGGCCGCAACTTTCGCTAGATAGCGCTATTGACAAATTTATACCACGGAACACTTTTGGATAAAAAGCTTTCATAAAAATTGATATAGTATGAAAATCCAATTGGATTTTCAAATGTATAGAGGAATGACAAATGCTTTGTTGCTGTGTAATTGACCTAAAAGTGAAAATATAGCGATGAATTTAAATATTCATTTTTAAATCAAAATAAATTTTCCCTTGGCAAGGTACCCTTTAAAAAATATATGTTTTGCCTTTTCTACTGAATTTTTCAAGTCTATCGCATTAAGAAACGGATTTGTTCAGAGATAAAAAATGACTCCATTAGAAAAATGGATAAATTATTTTTAATTTTTGAAAGATTTAACGCCATTCGTCTTGGATATTTTACAAGAATAATTTAGTATAATAACAGAAAAATATGCTCTTAGCAGTATTTCATGTTTACGAAAATTCATATAAATCAATATCGGTTAGATTTTCAAATGTGTTGAAACTAACTTATTCTTCATTTGATACGCCTCTAAACATTTGCCATCGGTTTTTTACACCATCAATGTAGATTTTACAATGTAGAATATAATATATAATCGTCAATTTCGACTAACGTTATCTGCTGGTGCAAAGATATCTTTTTATGTTTTCACATTCCTTTCTCGTTTTTATAATAAAGATAAAAGCAAATAAATTGGTTTATATTCATTTAATCATTAATTTGGCGTTATCTTAAGCTCACATTTTGATGCCTCCATCCATTAAATCACAGCGGAATGATTTCTGGGTTTAAGTTAACCGAAAAACCACATAAGTCTTAAATTTGAGACTTGAATCTGTATTTCACATACATTGATTTTTGGATAGGATAGATCCGTAAGATCACCGCAAGAGCTTGATCCAAGAGAGCGTACGTCGCAAGGGAAACATTTTTTTCGTCTCTTCGACTCTCCTTTTGCTGTTAATAGGCATTTTATTATAAATTACAATGGAAATCGCGAACACTTTTTGTTTTCACAACATTTCACATGACCACGCAGTTTGAAAGCACAACTTTCAACTCACTGTCATTCGAAATTCCCACTACTCCGACAAATCCGACTATTATTTAATATTTATGAATCCGAAGCAAACGACGATTCCAAATCTGAGTGTCCAACCCCTTGCATTTGACAATCGGATTTCAGGCATACTCGTAAAACCCAAATCATTGAACACTCTTATTTATTCTGCCAAATGATGTGCAAATAAATGAAAATTAGACATTTAATTGTCATTGTTATTGTGATACAGTGCAATTGTAAATTTAATTTCTAAAATGCTCTTGAATTCGAGATTAACTCAACCATAGGTGTTAATTTTTTTACTAATTAGTAGAATTTTTATTAGTTTATTAGTTTCATCATTTTTATTATTTTATTACTTAGTAGTTCTTAGACTATGTGAATCAAATAGACTTGAATGTCCATTTTTTAAGGTAAATAGCATTAATGAATTTTTTTTTCTTCTTGTTTCATTAGGAAAATATAAAATAAATGTAAATGATTGAAAATAAAATGAAAATAATTCAAATTGGAATGAAAAAAATAAAATAAAAATGTTTTTGGTATTGAACACAGAACGTTCGCTTGATACAGTCGACACGTATCCACAGAGCCACATCAGTGCATGATTTGCACTAAACTATATGACTACTTGTGCAGAGTGTGTGTTTTTCAAATGAACCGTCGCACATTTTCATGCATAAAAAATACTTTAATCGTTGTATAGTCTCTTTCAATGTACAAAATCGATTAAGTATTGAAAAAATAATACAAATTATTTCAAATATGAACGTGAGAGATGAATTTTGTTTGAGTTTTTTACATCGCAATGCTAATTTTTTTCTTGAGCAAAAAATCACTAAAGATTGAATCAATATCAAACCAAATTAAGTTTTAAATCTTTCATTGGATATTTAACAATAAAATAAAAACATGAAAAAAATTTAATAATTAAAAAAAATAGTTTTTTTTACGCAAAATCATTTTACACTGAACTTGCAAAATCAAAGTGTAAAAGGACGATTCACACTGGGAAGAAACAACTTCAGTGTAAATGGGCGAAATACAATGAACACATTCATGTTCACACTGTTCAATTTCTCTGAGTACATTGACAGTTTTATAAATGGACTTATTTATATTCATAAGCCGTACAACAATTAAAATAATTTTAGTTCATAAATTTGATACCAATTATAACAAAAAATATTAATTTCCAATGTTTTCAATAAATTAAAATTGCCTCATTAAATTGTTAAACCAATTTTAGTAAAACAACACGAACCGTTTTATGCTAAAAACCAAATTCGACGATTTCTACTATTCCGACGAATCCGACTGTTATTTACGAATTCGAAGCAAATGACGATTCCTAATCCGAGTGTCCAACCCCTAGTTATTAATACGAAACGAATACAAAAAAAAAAATAAAACTAAGAACGAAAAGAATTAATAATTCGAACTTGTTATAATAAAAACTATTTAAACACCTTTTTTAAAATTTTTGTTTGAAATATTTCAATTTCAAATCTTTCGAATGAAAAAGTGTAATTCAAGGTAAATATGCAATAAAATTTACAAGCTAAGCGACATAAATAAAGCCCGATAAAAATTTTATCAGGCAAATATTCCCTAATAAACAATAAGTAATTTTCACAATTTGTAAAAAAAATCTGTGTTTTTGTTAGAGTCTCTCTAATATAAAAGGCGTGCTGAGAAATGGTGAAAGCATCAGATTATTTGTGCTATTTGGAATAAGTAGTTAAGAGAAAAAAGTTTTAAAAAAATGAAATTCATTATTTTCACACTGTTATTTGCTGGATCCAGCTTTACTGACGGCAGTAGAAGTGATGGTCTTACCAGTAAGTATTAAAGAGAATTTTATCTTATTTGTTAAAAGAATAAAAAATGTATTTATTTCATTGATGGTTTATATACTTTAGATACTTTGAAAGGTGTATTGAACGATCTTCCAAGTCTTACCTACACTGCCAAAAGCATACGAAGAGTATCAGATTACATGGATAAATTAGCTAAAAAATTTGAAAATTCGGAAGATGCAAGTTCACTTTTGTCTATCATCCTTAGAAATAGTGAAATCATAAGTGGTGGCTTTCAATCTTTGGCTAAAGCAGCCGATGATTTGAATGCAGCTATTGTCGCTCAAACCGATGAAAATAGAGCTTTGAATCTTTTTAATCTTAATGATATAAATACTGGTGTACGTGAAATCGGTGATGCTGAACATACGATATCTGATGGTATTGAAGGCGCATTCCAGTCTGAGGAATCGGGTATGGTATGATTGATATCAGCCAAATAGTTAGCGAAATAAGCAATATCGCTGTTTCCAAGGATAAATTAGCTGATTCTGTGAAAAAATTGGATGGTGTCTCAGGGGCTGTTTTTGGTTTGGCTATTGATGTTAGCGGAGTAAGTCATGGTTTAGATAGACTGGCTGAAAGTTCAAATCATTTAACTAGTGCCATTGGTAACTCAAACATTGCTGAACAACTCATTGAATTTAAAACCGCTTTGAGTACATTATCTAGTGTCGAAGCTAAACTTGTTGCAAATGTTCGTGAATTATCCAGCCTAGCCAAGACTCTTGACTTAAACCTAGGCTCAGTTTTGGGCCAAGACGTTGGTGGTGTACTGTCCTCACTGTAAATGTCATGAAACAAAATAATTAAACTTTAAAACCGTATAGAATCAAAGGACGATATGATTATTGAACATTTATTTCAAAAAATATGTGGTATAAAAATATAAATTTTGATCCCAAAACAATCTGACATTCAATAAATGAACTTATTTTATAAAAACAAATCTGCTAACAAATATATTAAAACCACCAGAAATTGAATAAAAAGACCAAAAATTGAATAGAATTTTTATGGTAGTTTTCATTGAGAATGTGTCTATTGGACATAACAAATCTTTTCAACACATTTCGTTCATTCACCAACTTCAGACAATGTTTTCATTTGACTCTAATTTTGATAGATTTTTCAACCCAGCTTATTAAATTAAAACAATCAACATTCGGGTCATGGACATAACCATCGAGACTTCGAAATTTGATGCTCTCTAACGTGCACACAGCAGCACATAGAAATGTTAACGAAAGTAAATAATTTGTGCAATCGAATCGTTTTTGCACTTGAGCGTCGGATTCTTACTGAACCTCGCATTTTCTGTAATGAACTTTGATTTTATATACACTATCACTACATTAGAGTACAGGAATCTCTTAACTATGCTACGAGTAAGAAATGAATAGATTTTATAAAAAATGCTCAAAAAGAATAATGCCGCTTCAGTACATGTGCTGAACAAAGAGTGTCGCATGACATGATATGTTGCAATTTCGTATAAATTTTAAATGATCTAAAAATCATAATCTGTCAAACGATATTTTATAGCATTCTTCTTCTTTTGCAAAAGTCTTTCAAACCATTTCTTATTCCAACACAAGCAATGGAAAAATGCTAAAAAATTCCAGAACATCGTACTCCTGAGGTTAAACTAGGTAATTTATTCATACTTTTAAACAACACATTTTTTCGTTAGATTCCCATCGGGTGTTATTCAAAGGTGACCAAAAACAATAAATTCAATAAAAAAAGACGATTTTTTCACATAATAAAATCATTTAATCAAACTTAAGATATGGATGTGGATTTGCTTGAAAAACCCGAATTTATCGTGGTGGCGATATAAGAACCAGAAATGAAAAGGGATGGGAATCAATACCTGAAGCCGCTGTTATAGGTAATTTTAAATTCAATGAACTATTCCGAAATATTTCTTTAAACTTCTGTCATGATTGCTCTAGGATGTACAATTTTTGTTAAAAGCTTACTTACTTATGGAGTAAATGTTAACAGTAAAACCACTAAGGAATCATCAACGGCCTAACATTTGGCTATGGAACGGGGTAATGCAAACCATAACCATATACCATATAACCATATATATGTACTCATACTTCTTCAAAACAAGTGGTTTATATAGTCAATTTATGACATTTTGGATAGATTTTTTTATCGAAATCATAGGTTTGAGGAACACAGTAAAACAATGCGTGTGTTTAATACCATGTATATACAATCCATATTTTTCTAAATCTTTTACAATGAAAACCTAAAATTACACTTTTTGAAATAAAAAAATGATTTGTTTTGAAAATATTCCAATTCATGGTAAGCAATCGTTTTATGTTTATCGTTTCGCCCACCTCATAATTTATATAAGCTAATCAGCCAAAGTCTTGAAAAGCATGTAAAAAGTGAATGTTGTTTTCAGTAGCTGAAATTGTAAATCAAATAAAATACTATCGATAATTCAAGCTTAAAATTCAATCGAGCTTACATTTGTAAAAGTTTCCAAATTCAACAGAATTAATCTGAATCCATGATAATACATTTGTTTTTGAGCAATTGCAATAATAATTATAAAATGCTTTTGAAAATCATTCGACAACTCCTGCCAATTACACCCGTAAATACAATCGACCATTTTCTCATAGGCGTGGGAGGCCAATTTTCCATAATAGCAAAGCATGAACAGATTTAATATGGCCAACATAGTTACCAATACATATATGATTGCAGCAAAGTCCATTTGTTTAAATTGCTGAAATTTTATGTGAACTGAGTGTCCTTCGAAATGAGTTTTATTAAGTAACAGTAAAATTACCAAATTCAACTGGAAAATGGAACAAGCCAGCACTAACATGGCTATGAGAAGGTCAGGCAAAATAAGATGAGCATAGACATTGGAAGATTCCAAAAACCAGCTTTAAAACCAAATATAAATATTCAACTTATTCAAATGTGTTTTGGTAATAACAAAAATGGCATACTTTCGAATTTGTATTTGAAATGATACTATCTCACATAGAAACTCCTTGTTGTTGCGGTTTTTATGTGGATAATCCAGTTTGCGCAATTCATGTCGAAACATTTTGAAAAATGCTTCATGATGAACGCACATTGAAATGAATGTTAAAAGAACAACACCATTCATAATACAGTAAGATGCAGCGAATAAGATGCTCACACAGATTTCTCCGAAATATCCAAGCGGCGTAGATTGATTCCAGGGTAAACTATCGAAAAATTACTCGTTAGTTCTTGATGAAAGATACACTGAGTTTACAATAATCAATTGGAACTTTCCATTTGAAGAAGTAAAACTTTACTTACACGAAAGGGTACGGCACATATAATTTATCTATTCTAAACTCTCCGTGTGAACATAAACAGAAAATAATCGACGTGATACTTATGAATACATATGAAGCACAAAATACAGTAGCAACCCAATTGAAAAAGAAGCTCCACATCAGTTCGCATCTAATATTTGCTCTTACTAAGAATCGGAACATACCATATTCCTTGTCTGAATTCGAAATAATATTAATATCAAGAAAATTCTGATTTGAACAATAGAATTGATTAAAATACTTGTATCATAAATTTCTGACAACTTCTCAAAAATATTCCGAATTCCATGTCGCAGAAGAAATGTTACCAGAGCCACGTAGATCAATCCCAATGTGATAAACGAGACACAACACGCGAATATTGTTCTTTCAAAATCAATTGTAGCATTTTTATGAATGAATGCCAATAAACTAGCGGTTGTAATCATCTCCGAGGCAATAACAGCAAAAGTGAAAGCAATTCGCTTAATTTTCATCGAATTGTTTGTTGCTTGTAGAATGCACAGCCAACTTAGCATTTCCTGTGCTGTTTGCAGTGGCTTCATTACAAAATCGCACTAAATTCACAAAAAAACAAAATTTTAAATAGTCACAAATAATTTTTTTTCCAATTTTGATGTTTATCGTATCTTGTTTATCACAAAACTAACACGATTCAATGATAAAATAACTCAATTCATTATATACGAAAAGACATTATACGTTTATTAATTATTGGAGAAGAATTGATGGCATGCGACCAAAATTATGGTATGTATGATACCATTTAGTGTATTCAATATTCATCCAATTACTACTTCATACAATCATAAGGTTACTTTTGGTTTTGATTTGAATTCATAACGTTTTCTAATTGATATTCGAATTACTTTATGATTTTTCGAGGGTTGTTTTATAATATGACGTTTAGTAATAATAATAACCACAAATAAAACTCACAAAAAACAACATCGAAAATAATCTATTATATACTTAAATTTCATGACAAAAATTCATTCATAATTTAGATTGGTATGTAATATTTTCTTCTCTAAATTGATTTGATTATTTTTCAGTTGAAAATGAAGTCAACCTCGTCAACGATTTATCGCGTGCATAATTGATTATTTTTAAACTGAATTTTCCAAACAAAAATGGAATATCTGCGATTTTTCGAGAAATTTTGTGTCAATTCATAAACCAAAGACATGTAGACTGTGCAGCAGATCGCTACATACGTGAATACGCTAATGAATTCGTTGAACCATAGTCTTCGTATGCTGTTTTGACAGCTCCAAGTGGCCACCTGATGGTTGTCTTGTGAACCACATTACTTTATATGTAGTTCACTCGGCAGCTGTCAGAGGCAGTACTGTGCCAGATTTGCGACGCCACAATGTTAAAGTATAGAGCGTATTAGATAGCGTTGAACAATTTTTTTTAAAAATTGCATCATCGTGTATTTTGTATGGAAATTTATCACTTATCACGTGCAATTAAGTCAACTCACTTCATCTCACATGATAGCATGAGCAAACTGTATTTATACGTGAAATATATGAAATGAGCTGGAAGTTAATCTTGTGGAGCAGTTGGATCCTACCTGATGATGTGGGCTTACACTCTCCAGCAAGTCACTTTCGAGTATCTTATTGAAACCTATACCATTTTTTTGTGCATAATTTGTGCGAATTTGTGCATGCATTTTTAGAATTTGTGCATAAATGGTTGATGAGTTATTCAGCTTTATATTTTGTGGTGAATTTCGGTTTTGGATGCAATTCAACATTTTTCTATGGGCAAAAAATCGGAAAAAATTTTGTGCCATTTTTTTGTGCATAATTTCTCGCATTTCGTGAAGAATTGGCATGTTACAAAGGAAGATAGACTCTCTGACCACAGAGAGATTCGCTTCCAACTATTATGTGCTCGCCGAGCACAGAATAAATTCAGAAACCCTAGAAATACAAACTGGGAATTACTTAGAAACGAAGTAAGAAAAGGGTCTACAGCTCTCAGAAGACTGTGTCTGGACATCTCTACAAGGGATCGTTTAGACCAAGCAACTGAAAGTCTGACAGATCTTTTGAAGACTTCGTACCATATTTCATGCCCTGAGCGTGAAATTAAGATAAAGAACAATTATTGGTGGAATACGGACCTAAAAAGGCTAAGAAAGGAATCCAGAAGACTACTTAGAATATATTTAGCAAGAAAGGATACACCTCAAGGCCCACTCTGCCATGAAATATGGCGAAGGAGTAGGAACAAGTACACCAGTGAAATTCTTGTTGCTAAAAAGAACTCTGAAAAGAGATTCTTTAGCAGAATTGAGGGGGCTAAAAGCACCTCAAGAGTACACAAAATTCTGGCTAAGGACCCCGCCCAGGGTCCAGGAATACTTGTGAGACAAGATGGAAGCTACACGGAGTCTGATGAAGAGACTGCAAAGCTCCTACTTGATACGCACTTCCCTGAAAATGTAACACATGCGTTGCC